CACTACTACCACAACAGAACAATTACATAATGGTGTTTTTGAACAAAAATGGGTTGCGGTGTGTGTCTGTGCGTGTGTGTGTGTGTGTGTGTATGCGTGTGTTTTTTCAAACATATCCATAAAAAGGACAGAAAATGGAAAAACCTTTTGAATCAGTGAACGTATAAGAAGGGCAGGACGGATGGATGGATGGATGTACGGACTGCACAACACAACAAAACGTCTCATGATTTCACACCTTCAACATCACAGTACCACAGTCGCGCTGCCAGATATATTTCCGCAATGAAGCTGAATAGATCGTCTCCACCAGTAACTGGAACATAATGTAGCCAAAATTGAGGATGCCATTTGATCTGAAAAAAAAGAGCAAGTTATCATGTTTTTTGTTTGATGAGAAGTGAAATGAAACAGTTAGAAAAAAATAGTTCAAAATACTAAAATTAAAAATTGGAGGAAACAGAATTAAGAGAAGCAATCTTTGTTTTTCTCTGTGACGGGATCAAAAGAAATGTGAACGACTTCAAGGACCGAAACATCCCTGTTTAGCTGTTTAATTTCAATTTATGCTATTTTCATTTATTTTTGTTACACTCTGCCTTTAAAACATCAGACAAATTGATCGGCTAATACGTTACAGAAGTAACAAAAGGCATAGAATTAAAAAGATTTACGAATACTAGCTGATTTTAATATTTGATTTAATATTTAATATTATTTATTATTGCACAGCACCGAACTAGGTGGCCCAGTAACAAATCAAAAAATAAATGAAATTGTATTATGTGCCTCCTCCAACACTGTACTTCATAACGACTAAAAGTCATAAAATCCGAGACATACGCCAAGAACACCTCGAAATAACCAAAGCCTTGCCAAGTAATTTGGTTGGACATAGACAATAAACTGAAAAAAAAAGTGTAAAATTCAGGAACTGCTGCTTGGGGAAATGCTGAGCTGGTGATCTTTCCAGTAAACAAGAATAACGCCAGGAATGCCAAAAGGCTGACCACCAGTACAGGACAAGGTAACTGGGAAAGTTGCTAGTGTGCAGATAAAGAACCAGACGATGAATTAAAATCGTTCTCTGTATTCAAGTAAGAATTGCCCACAGCACTGTAACGAGCAAATAAAGAATGTAAAAGAGAGCAAAGTAAAGAGAAGGCAAATAAGGGTGGAAAACTTTGATGCCATTCTTGCAGATGTCTAAATTCTGCTTGTGAACAAACATACCTCCATTCAATTGATAGCTAAAAGGCAACAATAAACACATAAAATTGAAAATGCACATTATTTCTCACTGTTGACCGTGATCCACCCGTACTTTGCTTACAACCTATGTATTTCGCATATACTGCTTATTGTAGATTACGAAAATGCATTTTTATGCCTTTTTGCATATATGCAAATGCGAAAATGCAGATTGCGACG